CTATTCTCATTCTCTTGGCATGCACCTTCATCTCCGTGCTTGACGATGCTCCAATGTTCATCCTTCTTGCCCGTGCTAGGCCCTTCAATTGCAAGCAACACAAATGTATCTAAGTTAGGCAGCATCATAGTCTCATGAACACTAGAAACATTACCAAGAAACGAAAGTACCTGATAATTTAATTGGCGTACGCAAGCTCTAGCAATTGTTCCAAGAGGTAAAACAGCAGGGGATATGGGTGTAACTATGGTAGCCATGTCCTCATCACTTGCGCTTGTGGTCGCTTGGCTGCTGTCGCCGACTGGCATCTCCAGCCGAAGTTCTAGGAGCCTGAGGGGCCAATTTGCCAGTCGCACTAACTTGAATCTCCGCCTTCATAGAAGAGTCGGTCGTGGCATACTTGTCTGCTATGATCAACAGCTCATCAAGGGTTTCTGGCTCGTCACAAAGGAGCTTGTGCTTGAGGAGGGTGCCTTCTCTGCACCCGGCGGTGAAGTACTCGATAGCCTGCACCTCGTGCACGCCCTCGCAGGAGTTTCGAAGCTCGGCCCAACGCGTGAGGTAGTCGCGAGTCGACTCGTTGGGGCCTTGCACGCACAAGGAAAGCTCACGAGGCTTGGGAGGACGCTTGCACGTGCTTGTGAAGTTGCAGACCAATGCATCGGTGTAATCGACCCAGCTGTTGATGCTGCGGGGCTTCAGGCTGTTCAGCCATGTCCGGGCCGTGCCCTGGAGCATGAGCGGGGCGTATTTTACGGCAACACGCTTGTTGCCGTTCGCTATGTTAACGGCCGTGGAGTAGTCAACCAGCCAGTCCTCTGGCTTCATGGAGCCGGTGTACTTGGGCGTGTCTCTTGGGAGCGTGAACCCTTTGGGAAAGGGCTCGTCTCGAATGCGGGGCCCGAAACAAGGCGGACCCAACTCGTCTTTTTCTTCCAGCGCCAGGGATCGGTGAAGTCGGTTGATCCGGTGGCGGGCATCATTTTCTCTGACTCCCTCTCGGCGGCCAAGGCGGCCGCCGAGAGTCGGATGGTCAACAGGCGACGGGGAGACTCGCCTTTCCTTGCGAGGAGGAGGAGGAGGTGGACAGTCGTCCCGTCGTTCCACTGCTCTCGGGCGGCCGTCTTGGTCGCGCTCTATGGTAACGCGAGTCCGACTGCAGCTGACAATCGGGTCCTTGTCTTTTCATCCGCGGGCGCCGCCTGCCGGCGTCCGAGACATCGCGCCTTGGTCTCGGCGTGGAGGCAGGTCGTCGTTTTGTCGCCGCGGCGCCTCTGTGCGGCAGCCGGCCTCGTTCTGCGCGGCAGCCGCGTCGAGGAGCCGCTGGACTCTCTCCGTCATCAGGCGGCGCTCTTCGCCCTCGAAGTTGTCCAGCTCGTCCGCCGCCGCCTGGGCGGCTCGAATGTTCTCCGCAGGCGTGGCGTACACAGGGCGATTTGCCCCGAATAGGTTGGCGATGGCCACGCCGCGCTGCTGGACCGCGCCTAAGCGGCTGGGCCCAGCTGGGGCTGGCGAGCCACCCACAGCGCGATCCATCTCACGCTGGTAGGCTTCTGACAAGTGTCTCATGCTAGCGAGCTTCTTCGCGCCTTCGACGAGATGAAGGCGGCGCGCCTCCAACGTCTCCGCGTCAGCGTCTTCTGGAATGGGCGCGGTCAGGTCTTGCAATGCCGCGCTAAGTGGGTCATGCGCTCCTCCGCCGGGAGGCTCGTCATGACCGATGACGAGCACCTCTGTGACGGTGCTTCCGTCGCTCTCCGCGCGAGGGAGCGGCTCATCATAGACCACCACATTGGTGGGGAACGCGTTGAGCGACGCGGTGTCAGAGTCGACCAGCATCGGGTCGGTGGAGCCTACAGACTCCAAGTCCACGGCAGGCTCGTCGGTGACGTGGAGTTGGTCAAGGGGGCCCGCGAGGAGGCCCTCGGGGCCGCCCGTGCCTGGATCGGATGCAGGCTCGTCGGAGAGGCAAACCTCGCCGACAAGATCGGCGAGACAACTAGCTGCGCAGGCGATCTCAGCGCCGTGCAGCGCGTCGGCGCAAACTCCGTCTGGCGTGCCGGGCTGGCTGCACTCGCTAGGGAGGAAAAGGGTTCCCGTCCAGAGCAGGTCTCCGACGACGGTGCACCAGGCCCCACGGTGGGCGCCAAATGTCGGGGGTTGGGTGCGACATATGCCAAAGGATGGCTTATCATGGTGGGGGCGAGTAGAATGTCGCCGGTGCCTGGAAACGGGATAAGGCGAAGGCATGCACGCCGGCGAATCTTACCCAGCTTCGAGGCTCTCCGTGGAGATAATACCCCTACTGCTGCTCTGCGGGGTCTCCGCATGATCACTATGGCAAAGTGTGTACACGGTTGCTCCTTGAGCTATTTCCGGGAGGTAGAAGGCAAGGCTAGCTCTCTCCTTCCTATATGATCTGGTCTAGTGCTAATGGATTCCAACCCTTTGCATGGGTGCCCTGGGGGTTTATATAGGCCTACCCCCAGGGGTACAATGGTAATCCGTCTGGACGCGGGCCCATCCATCAGTCTCTCTGGCCGCCGTCTTATCCGCCGACTGGTGGGCCCGCCCGACTGACTCAGTACGGAGCCGACAGGCCGCGTCCGCCGCGGGCGGGTCTTGCCGGCTGTAGATTAATGTAGCCATGCCACTATTGACGCTGGCTCGGTCATGGGGTCGTGGTGACAGCTCCGCCGTCTGGCGGGCGATCACTGTGGCCACTCCCTGTCGCGTCTGGTTAATGGCGCGTGGGGCCCGTGGGAGGGGCCGGCTGACTCCTGGGGACCGACTCGCAACTGGGACGAATGGTGGCGCTCTCGCCATCTTCTGGACGCCCGCCGACTGGTGGGACCCGTCGTCCCTGGGTCGTACCGGCAGGCCGTCGTGGGCACAGGACTCCGCACACTGGGGCTGACGTCAGGGCCGACATGACAACAGTGTCGCACCGGGCGGAGATCTCCGCGGGTACGGCGTACTGTGGCCACGCCTGCCCTTGGAAAAGGGTGGGAGTGGACCTTACTGTGGCCACTCCCCGTCCCGTCCCTCTTTATAAGGGCATGGGGTTGTTGGCGTCACGGGCCGACTCCCCATGGCCGTCTTCTCTGGAAGTCGCCAGTCAGGAGTCGGCTCATCCTGAAGTCGTGCTCGGGACTCGACCGCGAGTGGGCAGTCGGCTGCCTCGCAGTCGACTCTCAGAAGGCGGCTCTTCGTCCTGGGGTCTTGAGGGGTGCAGCCTGCCCCGATGTCTTGAAAGGTTCTAGGCCTGGGTTAGCCTACCCATGGCCCATTACTCCGACATCTAGGGATACCTACTATACCTTGCTCAGTTAAGAACAACTATGTTAAACTGCCTTGTGTGATTTAGAAGCACATGTTAGTGTTATGCCCTTATCTCTTTATAAGAAATTTGACCTGAATAAGTTGAGATTTTTTTGCAAATGGCTGATAAAATTATTGCAATTCTCATTGGCATTTGTGAGGACGTCCCTTATACGCAGATCCAATGGTGAACGGCCTATTCTGACTAATGATAACCCCGAAATAGGCTCGCAGGATCTGTTAGCGACACAACATCACTCTGACCCAAGACCATCAATTCAAATGCTAGGCTCACTGCAACAATCCACGCGGCTTCATGTAGCCTTCGGAGCCGGATGGTGCCAATCCCATAGTGAAAATATAATCCACTCTGCCCCGTTTGAAGTGGACATGGCCTCTACAGATACGACCAAAAATATTATCCTCATATACAATAATCATGTGATTTCTATTAATAATTATATAAATTACTATTTTGTTACTCGGAATAGAAATACAACTTTCTTTTGTTTTATGTAGAATAATAGAATATTTTTACAAGCCCCGTGTGAAGATGAGGAGCAGCCACAAGTGTGTTCGTTCATGTGCATGGAGCACATACATGCATGTGCATGGATGCCTTCCATCATCGAACCATCCATCTCATCCGTCATGCATGCAGTGCAAGGAGGCAGCGCTACAGGGTCAGACAATTTTGTTTTGGTTCAATGTTTCAAGAGGAGTAACGTGTTGGTCCAAAGGACTTCTTGGTGCGCTACCTCACGACGGGCCAACACGTCATCAGGTCAACCGAAGCAAGCATGCAGTGTCCGGCCTTCGTACGGTACGGCGGTGCCTGTGGCACAGCGAACCGACTCGGTCCGCATGTCGTTCTTTAATAAATACCTAGTCTATGTTAGGGTTTTAGACTCGGGTTTTATTATACTAGCACATATTATACTAGCACATATGCCTATGTGTTACATCGAAAGAGAAAAAAATATGTGTGCTTAAATTAAATTTAATGGGAAGCAGAGTGGAGCTAGCTACAACCGAGTCTGAATTAAAAAACCTTCCTATTTGCCGTTGTACTAAAAGACTTTAGGATTCACGTTGCGCCGGTCCAACGATTTCAGAGGCTTCCTACTACTGCCATCCTCTTTGAAGCTGGGCGAAGGAACTTACACTTCTCCCCTCCGGAAGCCATATGTAGCTTCAAGTAGTTAAAGGCATGTGGATGCATAGGAAGATGAGTATATGTTGAATGTTGAGAGAGCGGCGTTTCTGAGAAGGGCGGCAGCTGATCACATTATCGTGGACGTTGGTCCAGCTCTTGGGATGAGCGCTAGTGGGTTCAGGTCAGCATATACGGTGTCCTGAAAATGATATCGCGCGGTGGAATACGGAAGTGAAACAGTAGTGTACGCCAGCTCCCGGGCATGTTCTTTAGAAACGCCCGTTACATTGACGAGCCGAGCCGTGGCTCAGGACTGTAAAGACAACCTGACCCCCAATCAGACATGCAATGACGCCGTATGATGCGAACAAGCCTCCGTCAAGGTCGCACTAAATGCTGTTTGGTAGGTCAATAGTGGGACAGCCGGAGATATCATGGTCTCACTGTTGCATTTTGAGTACTACCTCCCTCTCATCCCCCTTCCTCGACTGCCTACCCAACTAAAACGGCGGGAGGCGAATCAATGGTGGCGGAGGGGAGTGCGATGATGTCTGCGGACGAACTGCATAATGGGCTAGAATTTCTCCTACATCCAGTTGACAGGTACGATGCTTATCTCAGTATTCTATTCTATTCGATCCAGATAGGCATGAGGAGGAAAAATGCCTGATGCTCTTTCGTTTTCCCCGTTATGCCGTAGATTCCCGCTGACAGAAGTCACTGCTGATGTTGAGCAGCCAGATCCACCGGCGCTCATGGACGTCCGGCGGTCAGCGCCGCCTACTGCCGACTCTTCTTGTGCCGTTGTGGTTGGCCACCTCGGTGTCTCCTCTGGGCATAACAGATCTGCTGGCAAGAGGCCGCTTTCACCAACCAAATCCGCCGAGTCCACTAGGAAGGTTAACCCCGAGGCACCAGGATGGACAAGAAGGTATACCTCTGATTCAGTTGTTCTATTTCACTTGCACATTTTGAGAACATATGTGAGAATTATGTCCGTTAGCATGTGTCAGCTGAAGTGATGCTCCAAAAAAGTTAGATCAATTCTGAACTTGACATTATCTGCTCGGATTGTAAAAAAAGCTTCAACAACTAATAAAAAGAGTGGTTTAAAATTCAGGCTGCGAATTGGGCGCGCTCCTCTGGACAGAGTGCCATGTGCCGGTAGAGTTACTCCTTTGGAAGAAACCATAAGGAGATATGCTGACAAACCTTCGGAAAATGTAGTAAAACCAAAGATTGGGATGAGTTTTGATTCCCTCGGCGAAGCGTATGATTTCTATAACCTATATTCTTGGGAGCTTGGGTTTCAAATACGAAATGGCAAGAGTCGTTTAAATGTCGAAAGGACTAAATGTATGCAAGAGATTGTCTGCGGATGCTCCGTCAGCACTTCAAAACTCACATAAAGATCATTATATTTCGGGGTTTTTAAATAATTTAGACCACTACATTTCATTTTTTTAGTTTTGACGAATGGAAAAATGTTTGCAGGGGAAACACGAGCAACAGAATAGCCGTTCTTGCTGCTGCGAGTGCCATGCGATGGTCAGATTACTAAGAGCTGTAGACAATGGATGGTACATTGCTGAGCACTGGTCAAGCCACAATCATTCCATGTCTCTTACATGCAGAGAAAAAGTTCATTGGCCGTCCCTCAAACACATAGACGTGTACACAAAAGATTTGGTGAAGCATCTAAGGGCGAACAATGTGAACCTCAGCAAGGTGTATAGCATAGTTGGCAGCTTCTTTGGTTCATCACATAGCGTGTCTTTTACAAAAAGGTCATTACGCAATCTGTGTGGATGAATAAGCCGAGACCAAGCTGACGATGATGTCAACAAAACCTTAGTTGTGTTCAAAGAGATTCAGCCGAATGACCCGGAATTCACGTACATGGTCCAGGGTGATGAGGAAAGCAGAATAAAAAAACTTATGTGGACAAACGGAAACAGCAAGTTGCAGTACAAGTTCTTTGGTGATGTTATTACATTCGACGTATCGGACCAACTTGTATGACATGCCCTTTGCTTTGTTCGTTGGTGTGAACAATCACTTTCAAAGCATAATACTTCCTGGTGTCCTGATGCGTGATGAGCAAGTCGAGAGCTTCTAGTGGGTATTTTCTGAATTCATCAACATGATGGGCGGGAAGCATCCACGAACAATATTGACAAGTGTGTGCGAAAAGCTTGAAAATAACGATGCATATGTAGATATGTAGTACTGGATAAATGCAAAAAAAAAATGACTATGTTTGCCATGTTGTCCACATTGTAGATCAAGCAAGATCCAGGGAGATAGCGATCAAGAGTGAGCTCCCTGATACTGTGCACAGGTGGTGCAAGTGGCATGTTCCTAAGAAAGCAAAGGAGAACCTTGGCCCACTATACATAAGCAAAAGCGAGTTCAGGGCTGAATTTCACAAAGTCATGAATCACATGATAAGTGTGGAGGAACTTGAGACTGCATGGGGTGCACTTGTTGAGAAATACAATTTGAAAACCCACAATTACATGACAAACCTTTACAAGATACGTCGAAAGTGGGCGAAGCCGTACTTCAAAGGTGTCTTCTGTGCCAAAATGACTAGCACCCAGCGCAGCGAGAGCGTCAACAACATGCTGAAGATTTACATGCCGCCATCTAGCCCAATGCATGTATTCGTGCGCCAGTACACGAGGCTTCAATTCGACTGTGAATCAGATGAGAGCTACCAAGAGAAAAGAACAAGGATTGTGAGTCAGATTTACTTCCCCGTTCTTCCATTACTCCTTTTTTGGGTATGTGCGATTATGATCCAAGGAAAGAATGACTAATTGTCTCTTTTCTGTGGTGCTTTCCCAGAGTGGTGCTGTGATGAGGACCAACATTTCTATCGAAAGGCACGCGAGTAAGATTTATACAAGAAAGATGTTTGAATTATTTGGTGAGAATCTGTTCGAAGGTGGTTCATACCAAGTTGAGGAATTGCAAAAGAAAAAGAAATATATCGCAAGGCACAATGACGCTGAAAAAAGAGAGAAGTGAAGCAAGGTGGAATATGTAGTGACAATACCGAAAGAAGGTGATTAGTTCGATTGTGAATGCAGGCAGTTTGCCCACTTGGGGATGCTTTGCTGCCATGCCTTGAAGGTTAATTGCTCACTAAAAACTTACATGTGATTTTTCTCGTCAAGTATGATTACATATCACTTGTGGGGGCTTACTTGTTTCATCCTTAACTCATGTGATGGACTACATTGGCGTGGAGGAGATACCTAAATGGCACATCTTAAAAAGGTGGACAAAAGATGCTAGAGACATCTTGCCACAACACATTGCTCATTTCCAAAAAGACCAGGCTGCTAATCAATCATTTACCTGTCGGAGTTCGACTCTGTACCTGCATTCTATGGAACTGGTGAGGATTGGAGACTCGTCAGTCGCGGCATACGAGCTGGTACTAGGGAAGATCAAAGACCTAATACTGGAGGCATCTCCTTTGGGTGAAAACATAGATGGACTAGGGATTGAGGATAGGATAGCTGTAGAAGCAAGCAGAAAGAAAAACATTGATGCGGAAATGGTTGACAATGAGAACAACATGACCATGTCTGGCAATTGGGATGCGCTCGCTGGACTGTCAGCTCCAACCAAAAAAACATGGCGTTGGGAGACCAAGCTCGAGCAGAGAGAAAGCACCATATGAAGGTCTGAGCAAGAGGACAAGGTTCTGCAGTATGTAAAAGAGGACCACCTGCCCAGAGAGGGGTGATGTTCCTAAGTAACCTCGCAAGCCTATCACTTGCAAGAATTGCAGTGTTACAGGGCACTGACGTACCTCATGCACTAGGCTGCTTATGCCCAATAATCTTAGGATTTGTGCTGAACTTATGTACTAGTAGAATAATCGATGACTTTCCTAGTGTGTTACCTGTGGATGAATTTCCCATGCTTGATCGTCTTGACTGTAAACTAGTTGCCTTGAGCTGAAGTTGTTGTGTATGAACCGATAAAAACTGAAATTACCAAACAGTGTGGTAGTAGACCATGTGTGATGCCAAAATAATAGCTGACTGCAAACAAGGTGTGAAAAAAAATCATAGAGCATTCATTGGTAATTTCAGCCGTGCAATGCGGTGCTACTTGACCATGAAAATCCCTGATGATGGTTGTTTTGCTGCTGGCGCCTGGAGGTGCATACAAAATGGGCAAGCTGAGTGCTAGTCTGCAGGTATTTTTTTGAATATACGAGGTGCTGGTAGAATATTGAATGCCTTATTACACGTGTCAGTATGCGCCCCATGCTTTCAAATTTGAAAGTGCATACTGCGCTTCCACTTGGACGGCTTCGCATTACTTAAGGAGTTGAGCAGCAATGAACTCTTGCCAAAAAGGGATAGGTAGGCTCAGGAAACAAACTGACCCATCCACTCTCATCCCGTACCACTACGACATTGCCGTGTAACAGCAAATCAATGCGTGGGCCCATTGTCGAATACCCCATGGAATACGCGAGTCACGTACGCTTGTGAATACGAGAATCCACGTGCATCCCAAGAAGAGCCAAAGGCTAAGGTACCGGCCTTAGCTGTGCAGGATTAGAAACAAATTTTCGGAATGTTGATGTAATCATAACACATAGATTATTACCAGCACAAAGCATTTGCTATGTTAAAATGGTATAATGGTAGCCTGTTGTATCACGGATCATGATATTGCTACAAATTTGTGTAAGCAAAAATAAAAAAAAGAAACATGAACTGCCATATTCATTCGGAAGGAAAACAACACCTTGCTCAAATAAAAAAATCTATCAAACGAAGACACTGTTATTCATAAATATCTAGTGTAGATGACAATGCAGTTAAGTGATGGAGAATAAAATTGGAAATGAACATGGCCCAATCTAGACGAATAGATATTAGCTAGGAGAACCAGTTAAATTGTCTTGTAAAAACATACCAAGAAAAGTGGAAGTGATGGAGCACAACAGTAGCAGATAATCATTAATGTGATGGAACATCTGTTCACATAGTAATAATCTGTCAAATGCCATGAAGCATCAGAAACTACATGATGTTACAACAAGAACAACATTCAGTTCTACAGAAAAGTTGAAGTCCACTCAATTGTTTACACTATATAACTTAGAAATACGTATTGACAATCAAAAGTGCTTCCTGTAAAAAAAATATCAAAGGTTCTGCACCTCCATGAGCTTCCTTTTGAACACGCCACCTCACAAGTTAGTTATAGAAACGGAGACATGGCGTGATTCCTACATAAAGCTCCTCAACTGAAGAATGTCACAACAGCAAATACATCAACTCGATGCTTCACTATTTTCTTTCAAATCAGCCGCCTATGCAGGAAGGAAGCGAAAGGGGAGGAGGGGAGAGGGGTGAAATTTAAGAAATAAAGCTTTACTATGTGCAACATCCATATTTTCCGAGGTTCAAATTTTTTATTTAAAAAATGGGTCACGACTTTAAATAACAAAACCGAACCACCTAGAAATCAGGATGTCACGCAATGCTAACAACATATGAAGTTTCACCCATATCAAATGTTAAACAAATAATCACTTTCTAATTTAAAAGAGATAAAGGGTTCAAAATAGTATAATGAATAAAAAAATGAAAATCAGCTATGAGACACATATGTATGGCTTGCTATGTTTTGTAGCACCAACCGACGTAACCAAAATGGAGATGCTGAGAAATAGGATTAAGGACTGAAATATCAACAAAGTAAATTAGAAGATATGGAAGTGTTACCCTAGTTTCAGACCCTCGAGTTGATCCTTTTTTCAGATGTAGAATTCATCATATTAGGCAAGAAGATCAACAAACTCCTTGTGGACTGACATTGAGAAGCATACAATGGTAAAACCATTCACCAGATTAGCACCTTAATCTATGCCACTTTCTTTGTTGATTAGCAAAGCCAACTCCAATATGCCTGCTAAAGCATTGTCCATCTACAATGTCCTATCACTACTAGGGAAAACCCTAGTAGTAGCGCGGGTTTTGAGGCTAGCAGCAGCGCGGGTGGCCACGCTACTAATAAGGCGCTACAGCTAAATTATAGTAGTAGCGCGCTCCTTACCCGCGCTACTACAGTTGACGATATCAGCAGCGCTATTTATGAACGCGCTACTATTACTTAGCTGTAGCGATTTTGTAGTCCCTTGCTACTGCTATATCTTTCATCATTTTCCCTCATACCCCTTTCCCTTTAATTTTTTCTTTCAGATACTAGATACTAGGTACTGCTAGTAGATATCAAATTCATAAACCATTACTGGGTAGTACTCCCTTCGTTCCAAATTACTCGTCGTGGTTTTAGTTCAAACCACGACGAGTAATTTGGAACGAAGGGAGTACTAGATAACAATTTAATGCATAGTCAACATGCATCC